TTAAGATATTATTAATCTTATAGCTATATTAATTATTAGGATAACTATAGAAAGCCTAGTAGTATTAATATATATTAAGCTAAAAGCTAAATCTAATATTATTAAACTTAAGAAATTTATCTTTATACTAGAATAGATAATAAAATATAATCTTAATTTAGATATAATCTAATATATTAAGCCGGTATTAAAGCTAATATAATAAGATATAGTCTAATATAGTATTACTATAAGACTTCTTAGTCTTATAATTAAAATATTAAAAGAATTCTAAATATATAATATACCTATATTTAAAGAGATATTAGTAGTACTTTATAAATAGTAATTTATATAGCTAGATCTTTTTATTAAATTAGATATAATATAATATCACTTAATTATCTTAAACGCGATATTAGATAGCGACTATAGTCCGGCTACTATAATATAGTAGGATATAAAGTAGAATCTATAAAACTTTTTAAATAGACTAATTATACTAAAAAAGTAGAGTATTTATTATCTTATATATAACTAAAAGAAGCGGATTATAATTATTAATATAAGATAGAATATCTTATATTAAATCGAGATAGCTTTATATTAAACGCTTAGACTTACTAATATATTTAAAAAGATAATTTAATAAAACCTTAGTACTAATATATAAAATAATATCTATATTAGCTAGCTATATTATACTAATAATTAGATTATATAGATTAAGATATATATTATTATACTTTAGTTATAGATAGTAGTAAATAGCGCTAAATAGCTTTACTAAGACTAGTTTTATATAAATCTAATAAAGGAAGTTTATATAGTAGTTAGTCTAGCTTATAATATTATTCTTATATAAATAATACTAAGCGTTATATTAATAGTATTAGATCTAATTAATTATATATCTTAAATATTTAATAATATTATATTAATCTTTAGATTAGAGCTATAGGTCTAACTAGGCTTATTTATAAATAATATATACTATATAACTAAGAGTTAGATTTACCGCGGAGATATATATATCTTAATACTAAGTAAAGTAAGAGCGGAGTATAAAGATATCTAAAAGCTTAGGGTCTAAATAGTTATAAATCTAAAATAATATATAATTATAGACTAAGTCTTAGCTTTATTACTTATATCGGTTTTAGTAATCGCTAATATAGAATATCTACTTTAAGATCTTTTTTTAAAAAGCCTTAAAATATATATTAAATTATTAGACGATAATATAAAGATTCTTTTAGAAATTAGTCTATATAATATAGCGTTATATAATACTATTAATTATTAATTAGTCTTTATATTAAGAGAGATAATATATAAAGTTATCTTAATAAAGATTAGCGGCTAAAAGAATAATAAAAAAATAGGTAATATCGAGATTCTAAATATAAATAAATAGATTATAATAGCGGGTATTCTAATAAGACTAGATATCTTAGAGATAAGTAGAATAATATATAATATCTTAAAATAGTTTTTAGGCTTTAAAAGTATTATTTTTAAAAGCTATATAAAGATTATCTACTAAGATCTTATAATTATTATAATCTTTAATAAAAAAGTCGGTCTAGGATATAATAGAGTATTATATAAATATATTAAAAACTATAAAATAAAACCGAGGATATTATATAAAATAATCTAACTTATAATATATTAAGTATTAATATTACTTTTTAAATTTAATTATATATAAATAGGAAGCCTAAAACTTAGTCTTATTATATAAGAAAAGGATTAGGAAGATAAGAGAGAGTATAAGCTAGCTATTATTAAACTTAAATAATAAAGTAGTTTTAATAAAAGATAGGATAAGATAATAATATTAGAATAATATATTTTTAGATTAAATAGAAGATTCCTTAGATAATAAGCGGGTTATAAAAATAATATTATAAAGTATAGCCTCTTTATCTAGTTTATTTTTAAGGTTAAGAATAGCTATATATTTAAGTCTTAAGTTATTCTAGATAAAAGAGTTTAACTAAGATAACACTAATAGATCCTTAGGTTTAATAAACTAGATTTAGAATAGTATAAGATCGGAGATATTATTATAAAGTAATAGCTAAGATAAGTAGGCTAGATTAATAATAAAATAGTAATAATTAAAATAATAAATAGTAAGAAACTAGAGCTACTATATAACTATTATATAATAGACTATAAAGTTATAATTAAATTAATAATAGAGCTATAGATAGTCTATAGTATCTATAGGTTAAAGTATAATAAGATCTAATTTAATAAGAAGTAATAGTAGCTAATTATAAATTTTAAGAATATTTATTAAGAAGTATATTATATAGCTATAGTAGAAATATTATTAGCTATAAATCTAATAGATTTTAATAATAATATAAATAAAAGAAATTAATATCTCTTCTACCTATATTAAAATAAAAAAATAAAATAGGATATTATTAAGATATATATTATTATTTAAATTATAAAAATAGATATAGTCCGATAGAACTAGCTTTTAGTCTTTATTCTTATTTTTAGTATAATACTAATAATAGACTTTAGTCTAAGGCTCTTATATTATATATTTTATATCGAATTAACGCTTATTATAATATATATAGGTTTTTATAGTAGATTCTTAAAATATATTCTAGAAGTTATAAACTAGAGCCTATTATACCTCTATTAAAAGCCTAGATATTATAATATAGACCGAGTAGGCCTATAAAAATTAGAATAAATATAATAGTATATAGATAGGGATAGCTATATACTAATTAAAAGAAGTATAAAGGATATTAAATATAAAAAGAAAGGGCGAGGATAAGAAATATTATAATAAAAATAATATAAAAGAATTAGAATATAAAAAGATATATAAAAAAAGAGAATTAATAATATTAGAAAGAGAGGCGTCTAAGAGACCTCTTTACTAATATAACGCCGGATATAGTACTCCCTCTTTTTTATATTATAGGCTTTAATAGAGGCTATATAGCCGGGAATAGCTTTAAAATAGGCGATAGCGGGCTTAGATATTATAAGCTATTTAAATAGAAGATATTAGTAATATAAAAATAATAAGAAAGTTATAAATCTTAATAAAAGTTTTTTTATAATATTAGAAATAAATTTAAATTAAAAGACCGGCCTAATAATAATTCTAGAATTAGTTTAGCGGCTTAGCGGTACTATATTTAATATATATATAATAATCGGTTTATAGGATAGGCTATATATAGATCTAAATCTTAATAAATAAGGGTTTAGTAGGCGGTCTTTAGCTCTAATAGTAATCTAAATATTTAATAATAAAGATATCTAGTTAATAGTAATTCTAGAATTAGTCTATATACTTATAAATATAGTATTTAGCGTATCTATAGCTACTAGATTAGAGATCTAGTAGGCTTAATTAGATAATAAGCTATAATAGATAAGAAATCTTAATATATAGGCTAAAGAGGGGACGTAGTTTATAAGATATTAATATTACGGCTTATATATCTTTTTTATATATATAGCGCTATAAAATATTAGATAATAGCGTATTATATAAATAGGATATTATATAGATATCTAGTTATTTATAGTATAATAACCGAGATAGGTTCGAAGGGACAAAAACCATTTGTGCCGAGGGCGCCGGATTCGGCCGCCCCTTCGATCGGGTTTGGCGTCCGCCCCGTTTGGGTTTGGTCCGTCCTAATTCGGTTTGGCGTCTACGCTTTTCCTAAAATGGCAGAGGCCTCACCCGCTCCTGTTCTGGTTTAGCGGACTCCAATTTGGTTTAGCGGTCCCCGAAACAGTTTGGCGCCTCCGGCTATCCTACAACGGGAATCTGCCATATCCGACCGCCTACTAGCTAGACCCTTAGACTATATAACTTCCAGTGCGTCGCTCTACCGTCCTCCCCTCTGCCTAACTGCACTCTTCTCTCTCCTATTATACCATCGGTGAAATGATACCGTAATTCCGGATCGCACGGTATCCTTCCCCCTACGCCTCCCTGTTTTAGCTGAGTTCCTCGTTATCGCCTGCGCGCCTTTTCTCTACTCGACTCGCTGTAGATAGATCTATCTATCGGCCCTAGTCGCCCTAATCCTTAAATTAGACCGCTGCGCTATAACCCTATGATCTGATTTAGGCAATAGCTTATATACCTACCCTCTAGTCCCTATTTGTTTTGCCTACTATAACGGCGCAGCCTTCTACGATCGGCTAGGGGAGAGAGCCTTAACTTATAAGGAGATTCGATCTACGACCTAGTCGGTCGAGCACGATTGCGACGCGGCGCTCTCTAAGCTAGTACTAATCATAATATCTCGCTATACCTATGTATCTATTAGTACTTGCTACTCTTACGCCCCGCCTATAACGAAGAATATCTTATTCCCGGATTCTTTTTCGTAAGGGCTTCGACTTTTAGTAGCCTTAAATAGGCTAGCGTTATTTAACGGATAATGGGTTATCATTTTCCTAGACGCTAGTGTCTGCGCTAAATAATCTTCCGTAGACGATCTTACCGTAATTCACTATTCTAGCGAGGCGTAGTAAAGAAGACCGAGGAATCTAGACTATCGGAGGTTCCTAGGAGGGTCGGTATTACCGTACGTATAATGATATCTTACCCGACTAGACGCTAATGCCTATGCTAAATACCCTTTCGGAGACGATCCCTTTACTATAGTCCTCTTTTAGTAAGGCGTAGTAGGGTAGACCGTAAACTTATCCGAATATAAAACGCTTTAATCTAATAAGAGAAATGCCGTATATAGTATCGGCCTTACGCGTGACTCCTTTTATGAATTCCGTTATAGATAGGTTGGTAGATCTTCTTAGTAGGCTACGCTTTATCTTACGACTCTTATCTATTCGACCTATCTAAAGCGCTCGGAAGAGGTAGGGGAAGGTAGGTAGGTATAAAGGGTTGTTAGAACTCCTTACTAGGACCGAGAAGGAGGCTAGCTATCTATTTATAGTTCCTTCTCTTCTATTCTAATATATTACGTCTAAATCTTTCTCGTGGTATAGCACCGATTAATCTAGACGACGTTATCTATTATCGTCCGCTTACTAAAAAACCATATTTTAAACCGCTCCGGGCACCCGGGTCCTACGATCGTATCAATTTATAGATATATTCGGATAGACCCGCGCTAGCCTATCCGTTTCTACCTAGCTAGTATTAGCGTTCGACTATTCTATTCTCGGGGTATACGCCGTACTTCTAAAGTTATTTCTATATATCTAGTAAAGACGAGACGTTATTAGCCCCTAACGAGCTTATAGAAAAAGTGACCATTAACTACTCGAATAAGTTTAATATAGATTTCTTAAATACCTCTTCGGGAAGAGATATAAACGTTATTATATCAAATATATATATAGCGAGTCGAGAATTGCCGGATAATATTTCTAATAGTAGTTTAGGGTAAGGTTTATACGACTAGCGTTACGATGGTATATAGTAGCCATTATTTTGAGTCCCCTTAATTTCTTCAATTTACTCTATTAAATTTATTATACCTATCTCTTTTTCCTTAATAATAAAGTAGTCGATAATAGAGGGCTAACTTCGCACTTTAAGACCTAGACTTTTAAGATAACGGGTACTATAAGAACAACGTAATATTTTCTTCTTAAGATATTATCTAGGGGGAGGTCTTAAGCAATCTACTCCTCTATACTCTATATCGGTCCGTAATAGCCTCTATATCCCGATAGCGGAGGAAGAAATTCTAAGCTAAACAGAAGAATATAAAAATATAGGTTAGTACTCTCAGTTAGCTAGGTTGCCCTATCCTCTAGCTCACGTAGTAGAATATAAACGAATCTACGATAGAAGGAGATATCTTACGACCTTCGAACCTAATAATAGATATAGTAGACGGCAATATAATAGTTAATAGCTAAATTATTAATCCTACGGGCTAAGAAAAGCAATCTACTCTAATGTATTTGCTATCTAGAGATGCTAGAATTAAAGCAGACGAATTAGGATCGAAACCGGTAGCTTACGTTATTAAGAAAAGTATACTAGCCGAGAAATATAATAGACAGCCCGTTTCCGAAAGCTATATAATTATTAGCTAGGAGAAAGATAGGGCTATAGCTTATAATAAGGAAGACGAGCTATAGCGTCATAATACGGAGAGCCTATTAGTATCTCTAAAACTTCGTTAAAATAGAATATTAGCGCGTTCAATCTCACCTATATTTTAAGATAGTAAAAAGCAGTCGCTATATAGCCTAATAGAGGAAGTTATAGGATTCTATCTAGTATTAGATCAGGCTCTAATATTAGACTAGCCGTCGGTCGTTATCTCTAACTACTGTTCCTAAGAGCGAGGAACGAAGGACTCTGCCTTAATAATACGAATAGCCTCTCCGAATAGAAAGCGGGACCGGGATAAGTATATATCCGATAATAGTAGCGATAACCCTAATAGCCCCGACGATACGGACTACGTAGGCGAAAGTAGTAAAGACGTATATAGAAACAGCGTTCCTTTCTATCGACTAAAAAGAGTAAGGCGACCTACCGCGTAGCTTAAGCCTAGACCTCCCCGGTAGAACACTAAACGCCTCTCGGTCGACGAGGTAGTTCAATCTAAAGTAGCCGCAGATCAGACTTCCCCAATAAGCTTATACGATATCGAAACGATTCCTATCCGAGGTTTCCTTACGCGATAGATACTTTTATTAAGGGTTATCTATTTAGTTACCTTTAAAGAGTAGGTAGAGCATTCCTACTCTTAGAGATTAGGTAGAGCTACTTTATATTATAAAAATAAAATTAGCAGCTAGTATTCTAAGCAACCCCCTAGAAAGGGTCCCGCGCTAAGAAAACGACCGGGCTAACCCGATTCCTATCTAAGGACGACTAGCTTTTAATTGAATTAAAGGAAGAGCGGAGCCTACTATAGAAGCGAATCGTAGAGTATTTTCCTAGAAGGTCGGAAGGCTCCCTCTAGGTACGCTATTCTATACGCCTTAAAGGCCGTAAGGCTAGAAATCCTAGGCATTCTAGGCGGAGTTCTAATATAAGGAGCGAATCTTTATATAGAGGCGTACCTTACGAGGTAGTTCAAGCCGCGGGTAGTAAGAGTAAAGGTACCGAAGAAAGTATATTAAGACCGCGATACGGTCTACCTCGGCGTAGGCAAACGGTAGATCGCTATTCCCCGGTTTAAGTTAGTAGTAGTTATTAGTCTTTATCGAATATTAGTCAAACGGATCGCTAAAAATAAGACTGTCCCGCTAAGTCTAACGCCCGTAGTGCGTTAGGCAGTAGTTAAACCTTACTAGGTTTCATAGTTTTAAAAAGCGGCAATAGTCTCTCTATAGAGTTGCTAAGCCTCTCTAGCACTAAAACATAGTTTTAATCTCACTTTTTGCTATTAGCGATACTGTTTTCGACTATAACGTGAATCTTATAAACGGCGGACCTATAAATTACTATATATAGTTAGTTTTACCTTCTTAGGTTTAGCGCCCTAATACGCCGTTATGTAACCTCCCTTTAGTGCTCTCCGACTTAAAAGACCCGCCTTCGCTACTCTTCCTCCCTTTCTCTTACTTCTCTATTTTTCTGCCTCTCTATCTTATACTTATTGTCTCCCCCTTTCTTTTACTTTAGCCTATTCTTCTAGCGCTTATAGGCTTCCGTCGAGTTTGTTAGAAGCACTTAAGCTAGCCCTATAGTTGCTATCTTATTTAACGTGTTTGCTTTTACTATTAATCATATAACAAATTCACCCTTAAACGCTTTTTAGGTAGCTATTGAAAACCCTCCTTATAGCTCTCTAAAATATTGGCGCACTTCTAGAAATATTACTCGGCTTTTTATAAATTACTAAAGTACTACCTATATAGTTCTTTTGGCCTCTTTAGTCGTATATTACCCTCGCCTATTAGAAATTATTTATTCGTACGTAGAAAGAGTAACGATATTAAGAGTTGCGGATACCCCTTAACGGAAAATAATTCTCCCGCCGTTGTAAAGAACCACGTTTTAGGATTAATTGAAGAATATTAAGCTATCTTACTAGGCAAAATAGTAGACCCGGTCCTTTATAAACCTTAGCTCGGTAAAACCTTAAGCTAAGGGTCGACTTTATTAATAGTAAGACTAAAACTAGGTATCGTTATCAAATGCCCTAGGTATTTGTGGTAGTATTCGGAGCGGCGGACGTATCCTTATTTATTAAGGATATTAAGCGTAGTTTCGAGGTTAAAGAGCGACTTTTCGATATATTAGGGACGTATCCTAGAATAATATAGTATATCAGCTAAACGCTAGGCGGTCTAATTATTAATATTATTTCTACTATAGCTATATTAGTATCTCTAAGGAACCTCGTAGATTGCTCTTTAGCGAAGCTAGCGATAGTAATCTATAAGCTTATATTGACTAGTATAATAATGCTATCGACCTATCTCTTCGTTTAAAATAGTGTTACTAGGTAGTAGAAGCCGTCTACTATATCTACCAAAAGGGAGTTATTTATTCCGACTTACGGCTAGAGAACTTATTATTACACTCCGATTCTAAAAGTAAGCTTAATCTTCTACTATATGATTTTAGAGGGTCGACGAATAGCGATATAGATAGTAGATATCTCCCCGACTCCGGCTTTTTTAATCCGTATAAGCTATAGATATTAATAGAGGCTATAGATATATTTAGTCTCGGGTCGGTCTTCTATACGATTATAACCGGCTACTAGCCCTATAAGTCCCCTAGGCTATTCCGATCTATAGTAGAGAAGAATAACTATGAAGAACGAGTAGATACTCTCTTTACGTCTTAAAAATATCCTTTAGTTAATAGTCTTACTAGTGGTACCGTGATATAGGGATATTAGATAGATCGATATAGTGATATAGTATCGCTTATTCGAGATTAAAATTTGTCTTTCGGTACGATAGAAGCTTCTAGGGATAGGTATAATATAGCTTAAGTAGCTTTTAATAATATATAAATCTATTTGCTATCCTTCTTTCTTTAAATCTAGCACGAAAGAATAAATAAGAATCGAAATCCTTTGCTAATTAAATAATCTAATTAAAATCCCTTTATTCCCTTCGAATTAGCTAAGGGGATTTATAGGTTTCTATAACTATATATTCTATATTTTCCTTTTACCTAGCTTGAGCCTAAAGGGTTTTCCTTACGATCTGGGCAAGCGGGGGTGCCGACGTTAGGGTAAGGCTTAAACCTAATATCTTCTATAATCCTATCTCTATACTCGTAGATTTTTATTAAAACGTTAACGGTATATATACTAGGATAAACCTAAGTAAGTTCGTCGAATATATTAAATATAGACTCGTAGCTAGACGTACCTAAGAGAGTAGAATTCGTAAAAGATATTCCTTATCTTAGGGAAAGGAAAGTATTAGGAAGTAGTAAGTTATCTTAAATAAATTATATATTCCTCTTCTAATAACTCGGTTTCGATCTAGTATTTAACGGTATAGGAACTATAGATACTTTTATCGCTAAGTAGGTGTCGCTAACTTAGAGTATAGTAGACGGGGATAGGCTCGTAAGATTTAGCCTATAAGTACTACGCGCCCGTCTCCTACGTATAGCGAGAAGGGTAGCTGCTATCAGTATATATAGAAGATTGTCATTAGGTACGTTAAATCAGGTGAACTTCTAAAAAGACAAAACTTAGGGAAGAAAGGACAAAGAAATGCGTAATATATTATAAGACAGAGAATATTAGGCAATATACCCGATTTTTAAGCAATATTAGACTAGAGCGGGGTAAGGAACCTACCTAATAAACTAGGCTATATAGACCCGCAGCGTATAGCTATATATATAGCGTATAGGCAAATAGGATAGTAGGCTAGGAATATATAATATATAATTACCTAGGAAGTTTTACTAGGAGTTCGAGTAATTTTAAATAGAGAATAGTGATTTAGTTATAATCTACCTAATCTAGTCTCGTATACTTAACAGTGACAATCCTTAAGTATATAGAGTCTTATACATCCTATATAAACGTATTACGTAAGTTAAAGCGGCTAACTATATATATATTTCGTAGAATAAGGGCATCTTACGAGGGGCAATATATAGAATAACTAATTATAAGATAGTAAGTTTCCCTCTAGGTTCACTCAAATAGTAACGCCCTTCGCCGATCTTATTATTACCACTATTAGATCTATAGTCATACCTATTAATTCCGTTATAATATATAGTATATATATAGAGGAGCTAATAATTACTAGGGTTGTATAGTCTAGTTTAGTGAAATATACTTAAAGTTATTTGTTGATAAAGAGAAGGGTAAGGTATAGGTACCTAACTTCGGGTAGTATCGGGCCTTATTAATTATATTATTGCCCGCCCCTACTTTCGTCCTATCTACTCCGGTATAACTTTAACCTACTAAAATTTGTTCGCTTATAGTCTACGTTATTTTCTTACTTTTCGGCCTCTTACGCGGATTATACACATTCCTACCCTATAAATATAGTTAATATCCCCCTTAACTGGACACGGATATATAAAAGACGTCGATTCTTACGACTAAAGACACTTTCCTACGCCTTATAACAAAATTATAAACTTACTACGTAACTACGCGATCATCAGACAAACTTCGAGTTAAAGGTATCACCTAGACTAAGGGATAGCGTAGAACACGATTATTATAAAATCCGATCTAGTATAATATATATCCTAAAATATATTAGAACTCTATCTGACTCGAGTAGGAAAGCTATTAGTAAAGCTTCACGAAAATCACATTTCAAGAGTCTGATAAGAGAGCAGCCTACTAAATCGAGGTATCCCCGACCGAGCAGCTTTTTACGTACGACTACTATAAGGAGATATTATTTCAAAATAGAGATAGCTTAACCCTATTTCGAACTAAAGACAGCGGGTAAATAAAGCTCCTACTAGGTATTCGCGTCCGGGTAAAGGGTAGATTAGCTAAAAGTCTATAACCTATAAATTGAATTTATAAAATAATAATATAATGTCTAGCTAACTATTAGACTAATTATTATAAGTTACGCTAGATATATATCTACCTTCAAACACTTTGTCTCGATCTCCCTAGTTTCTTAACTCCACGCTTGACTACTTATAATAGCTTCAAAGACGTCCTCGCTAAACGCTATAGTAATCTAATTCTTTACTACGTAGCCTACTAAAAAACGTTCTATCTCTAGGTTAGCGTATATCTAGCTGTAATATATAAGTTACTTATTAGCGGCTATTGTGTTAGTCTCTATATAGCCGAATAAAGTCTAAAGGATATTTTAATCAAATATAATTATTACTCTAATCATTCTATCTATAGATCCTTCTAATAGAAGGAAAGTCGTGACGTAACCGCGAGTTACTTTAGTGATCAAACGAGGGAATATTGCCTATATTGATTCTAGCTTTATAATCTTAGAATAATACTAAGACGGACTTCCGTTAAGAGAATATTAAAGGCTTAGTCTTATAGTACCGTTAGTAATTCGTCTTAGGCTGAGATAATCTAGTATTTTATTAGCGCCGACTCGTTAAGTGCTAGTAGAGAACTTACTTTATAGAAATTCTTCGTTAATAGATAAGCTCAAAATCACCCTATTTATTTCTTCGCTTTTCGTAATAACCTAAATAATAACTTAAGAAGCAATCACAGCCTATTCTAATAATACGTCGAAAAGCTCCTTCCGTATAATATCGATAGCCTTCTAGGTAAGATAAAGGCTATAAATAACTAGAGATATAGAATCTAATACCCTAAGAGCTACTAACTTTAGTTCGTACTTTTTTTAGGCTTAAATACTAAATTAAGCAAACTTAACAGTCGCCCTAACAAAATACGACTAAAGGGTAATTCCTTTATAGGAAGTAACAGTTTTGTAGCTTCGGTTTTTAGTAGCTACCGCTTTAGAGAGATTAATATTTCCTCTAAATCTTTTAGGGCTAGAGACTAGGGATTAAAGCTATCTAGTAAGCTGATTGTCTAGGTATACCCGTCTATAATCTAAAAAATTAGTTAACGAAGATAATAGGAAGTAGAGATATAGGAATAAGAAATATATTATAGACGGGGGGCATTAGTTAATATACCCGATTTTTAAGTAATATTAGACTAGAGCGGGATAAGGAACCTACCTAATAAACTAGGCTGTATAGACCCGCAGCGTATAGCTACGCGTATAGCGTATAGGTAAATAGGACAATAGGCTAGGAATATATGATATATATAGTCACTTAGGGAATTTACTAAAGCTTTAAGGAATTTATAACCAAAAAAAGTGGTTCTTATCGCCTATCCTACCGTACTATCTTAAGACGGAAGGAAATTAAAGGAGGGATTGTACTAGATAGAACGAGTTAATCTTTTAGAACGAAGTCTTATACATCCTACTATAAGATATCACGTAGACTAAAGATCATCTTATAAGGTAAACTTATAATATAGTATACTCCCTTATTAAGATTTAGACTCTTACTAACCTTACTATATTAACCTTTATTTCTATAGCCAAATCAGCTAATCTATCTTATCGAACCTTTAAGCACAATATGGCATTAGAAACTTCCTCTCCTAATCACTAAGGCCTAACGCCTCTAGATAGCCTAATAAAAAGGTCGGCCACGCCTCAAGCTACCGTAGAGGATCTAAAGCATCTCTTTAACGTACTTAAAAAGGTATTATTCGATCTTACTAACCGAGACCCTCTAAATACTCCTATCTTCTAGGACTATTCCCTACTAGGCCCCGATATAGTCTAACTAAAGCAACTATTAGAGAAGGTTATCTATAAAGGATATTCTTTAGCTAAGCCTCCCGTAGTAAATAAGCCTTCTAAGCCTTCTTAATCTTACTTTTCTAGTAATAAGTAGGTAGAGAAGGTCTAGGCGGCAGATAGGCTTAATCTCGAAAGCCCGATCTATACTATACCGGATGATTTTAAGTTATTTAAGAAATAGGTATCAAAATCCTAATTTAAAACAGTTATAAAAATATAAGAGCTACTAGCCAACCACCCCTTCTATTTTTTTAGATAGCTGATATGGGTCTAGCTAGAATAAAGAGGTATATAAATATAAGATAGCCGAGCTAACGGGGACTAGCAATAACCTAGATAATTACGCTAAGTATATATTCGTTGTCTATAAACGTATTAGTACGTAACACCTTTATATACCGGACCGAAAACCTACTAATAGTATAATCAGACCGAACGTCCGAGGAGGTAGTTCTATTTATAGATATTAAGTCGGAAGGCCTACGCGATATCCTACGAGACGTACTATACGACATTAAGGCCGTTAGCCTAATAGAGGATAAGCTATCGGTAATTGAGATAGTATTATTATTAAGGAGTACGCTAACGTAGATTTAGATCGAGTAAAATTTCCTTTTTTATTTCCTCCTAGAGCTCGATAGATATACGGAGAATATAGATAATAGTTTAGACTATAAGTCGGCATATACGGAGTATCTCCTCTTACTTATCGACTACCTTAAGTACGTATATACTTCTATTTTATAGCGTCTCGAATTAATATTATAGCACGGTTATATTATATATAACCTTATTTAGGCGCTTTTTAAGCCTAATTGCTATATTTATACTATATATATTAGTATAAAAGAGCCGCGATATATCGTATTCGACG